AGGATACAAATAATTTATTTATTTATTTTATGGCTAACCAACAATTGTTTACACTGCATCTTACAATTTATTTACAAACTTATTACTAACATAAGTGTAACAATTTATTAAATGTTAACACCGCATGCTTAGAATATTATACAAGTATACAGCTTAAAAATGAAATAAATCTTAAATTAGAGAAATAATTATAACAACATTTTTTTTTAATAATGACAATAACAAATTAGAAATTTAGTACAATGAATAAATAAAACAAATGCAACACAATTTTATCAAAACACTCAATTCATAAATTAACCAATTTTATTATAAAAGTTGACAATAGTACTGTAAAGTTTCCCAATGTTATCGCTATAAATATCTACTATGTCACTGCAGCCGTTGATTACTTTACAAAGTCTGGGAATTGGCGAGTTAGCACCCAAAACTGTTCTACGTAAAGGTTACACCTCCGCACCGACAGTGGTTGAATCCTGAAGTACTGCAGACGTGAGTTGTACGACGGTAACTGTTTAGTTTTCCCCTCGCAGAATGCAAGGTGCCAAAGAAAACGTTTCTGAACGCGCTCCAGTCGCAGCATATGTACAGCATAGTGAGGTCGCCAAACAACACTACAGTACTCTATTGTATAACACAATCTTTGTTTTGCTACTCTTAAAACCTCTTGAATTACGCAGTATAAATCCTAACATTCTAGATGCTTTCTTAGTTATGCTATCTAGATGTGGCAAGAAGGTAGCCTTTTTGTCAAATACAACTCCTAGATCCCTGATTGTTTCCACTTCTTGAATTTTTATATCATCAACTAGGTATTCAGATGAAATATTGTAAACCTTCCTAGTAAACTTTATATGATAGCATTTGCTGGTATTCAGTTCCATTTTGTTGTTTCTGCACCATTCAATCACTCCATTTAAACCATCCTGCAAGAGCTCCGTGTCATTTAAACTTACTATTGTCCTGGCAAATTTCAGATCATCAGCGTACAGAAAACATTTCGAATGATGCAAACTGTATGGTAGGTCATTAATGAATATATTAAACAGTATCGGCGCTAAATGGGAGCCTTCTGGTGCCCCAGAAGTAATATCACGGTTTGTAGATTTGAAACCATTTAGGACAACATAGAATTCACGGTTAGTTAAGTATGATCTAATCAAATCCAAAAGAGGTCCAGTAATTCCGTAAGCTGTTAGTTTGTACATCAGTATAGAGTGTGAAATTCTATCGAAAGCCTTACTTAGATCAGTATAAATAACATCAAACTGTTTACTTGTATCAAGAGCTTGCATTAAATACTCTGTAAAAGTTACCAAGTTTGTGCTTGTCGACCTAGCCGCTATAAAGCCATGTTGCCCTAATACCCTATTTCAGTATTCGTTACGATGTCCCTTACACCCTGTATCATTTTAACAATACGTAAAGGCACCTTTACACCTTGTAAGTGACGGCTTCTGAGGGTCAAATAGTGGGAGTGCTAGAAGTCGGATTCTCTTTGCATAAATAAAACGATAACTGCCTCGACATTATTTATTATATATACATAAATATGTCATAAATTAAACACAATAAAGGATACACGTAGTCATCTGTTAAAAGCATTGAAAAGGTAGTGATAAGATTTATTTTTCTCCTTGACTGAAAACTATTTATTTCTATAGCCTTTCCTAGTTGTGCACAAGTGTGGTCATTGCTTTTAACACATGCTAGAACTTAAAATACAACTTTTAAGTGCATAATTTAAAATAGACACGGTTAATCATATTATATACTAGATCAATGAAATAATTTAATAATATTGATATAGGCTTAAAACTGAATAACATACAATGTTTACATAAGTCAAATTATAAAAAGGCCAGCTATTCTATTTCTAAATTAGGTTTTAAATTTATCAAAGATATTCGGTTTTACTAAAGTATTTGCAGGACATAGGCCTCTCCTTAGAAAGGAGGTTTTGGCTTACTATACCACGCTGGCCAGACGGGTTGGTATAGGGTTTGTTTCAAGTTTTCCTTTTTTTTTGCAGTGCCGTAGTTTACCTCCTCCTTTCAACATGAACAGCCTTGGACTAGTCCAGCAGTGGACTAGTAAAGGCTGTTGATGATGATGAGAATTTGTAGGGTGTCTTCATGTGACGTGTGATACGGTCGCGGCATGATGTTTCTCTGCTAGAAAAACGAACCCTGTTAGGTCCGTAACTAGACGTATCATCCCCGTTATGAACACGTGAGTAAAGCTGCATATCTTAAAAAATAAAAATACCACTCAAGATTTTTTATTTCTTTTTAAATGTTCCATATCTTTTTTTTTAAGTTCTCGGGTTATAGTTTAACCGCTAATATTGATATTTTATATTTGGTTAAAGTTTTATGTTTAAAAAGTTCCATCCAATTTGTACCTACATTAAAAATTATTAAAACACCATTTAATCCTAAAACCTTGCCGAGTTATCGCTGACGATTACTAACAGTGAAATAGTGAAGCGACGAAACGAAACTTGACTAGGTTTTGTACTTAAATGATGGATGAATATTCGGCCCTGAGTTTGTCTGCCTGCGGTCATAATGTTTGTGACTCGACAACCCTATTTCTTTACCCTTTAAGTTGATTTCTGTTCAATTTAGTATTGTACTAAAGTATCACACAGAACATCTCTGTATATCATGGACATGTTATAATAGTGTAGTACAAATTGAATGTATCGATGACTATGTTAGAATGAAATAAAACTCTTTGGAATGTCGTACAAATGAATATAAGATTTAATTATTGTTTGTTTATTATGAAACTATTATAAACTACGTTAAATACACATAATATTATTTTAATAAATTACGTAAGGCATTATAGACATCTAAGCCAATATTATATTCACACAGGTGTTCCAGGGGACTCATAAAATTATTGATAAAATTCCAATAAAGAGATTTATATCTATAATGAACTATTGAATTATAAGTAGCTTAATAAATATCACAAATAAATACTGATGAGATTTTAATTCTCAAACAGTTATTTATATTTTTTTTTATTCATATTCAGTTTAGATGGTGACCCTATGACCATCTCAGTTATAGGTTATTTTTTATTCAAATCCATTTACAGAGCAAGGTACAGCGTGGGTTAGTACATTAAAAATATGTATAAATAGAGATTTCAGTAGAAGAAAGTACAACACAAACATATAAAAGATTAATGTGACGTATTTATTGTTGCATTTACGACAAAAGAAAAACACCTGCTGTATAGACCGAAAAGGTAAAAATTTATATTACAATATTTTTTATAAAGGATCAAAGGTTCTACTTAAGTAACCTGATACCGAGGCGTGGCCTCAGATCATGATAAAAGTCCCCTGTTGAGTGTCAAACTAGTCCGACAGGCGAAACACACACGTAAGTAAAACCTTTTATCATTTATAAATATGAACACAACTCATATACATAGGCCTCAATAATATTTTAAAAACACATTTAGGAATCCCTCACATTACAGCTTTTACTTCATTTTTTTTCTTTACAAACATTATTATAGTTATTTTGAGTTAAATGTTAAGTTTTTAAAAGTTTGTCAACATACAAATTAACTTTATTTCAAGAAATATTGGATATCAATGAGCTTCGTTTAGGTATAAGTGTTTTATTACTTAAAATAAATAAAACAACATAAAACATACGAGTACTTACATGAATAAAGTCTTTTTTTTTATCTTCTATGGATATTGTTGGCTTACAATCCCCAATCTATCTATGTGATAATTTTACCAATTTGCCCATCTAATTCCTAAACGGCAACGTTGATGGCAATAAGCTTGCCCCCCATTAAGTAAGAGGGATTTAATTTATAGTCAGCAAATGTTGGTGTTAAAGGAGCATAGCTCATTACACCCACTCGACACTCTTTGTCTATGGGTAGACGCCGAATTGGTAACTAGAAAACGACACGACAGACACGTTGGAGGTGGAGCGGTGTGGATGCATCTTCCTCGCGCGTGAACGACTAGCGGACACCGCGCGGTCACGGTGTGGACCCCTCGGTTACTGACTCGGAGTCGGGCAAGTCACTCCGCAGTCGATGCAGTGAGCGTATACCCATAGTACTCCATATAAAGAATACTAAACGCTCGAGGCGAGGCGGTAGTGATCGGGTGTCGGGGGACTCTAATGAGCTATGACCTTATGCTATACTATACGTCTCTCCTTATCCCTTCGGGGTTTTAGGCTTGGGTGTGTGTTGACCCAAAAAATTAGTAAGTTATTGTCAGAATTATTTAGCTAACTTCATGTCAGGGTACAGAAGTATACCACAAATAAATCAGATAATTCTAATTAAAATTTACTTTATCAATTCCTTTTATAATAAGCATGTTACAGTTTTCTTATGTTATTCATAAATATGTTGATAAGTAGTGTATTTATTTATCGAATAGTTGCTATAATTCTTATAATGTATATTAAAATTTGACTATAGCTCATTTCATTGATTGGGCATGGGGCGGAGCTTGATCAATGCGTCACTATTTTCTTAACGCGAATGGACTATAAGCATTTCTTTACCTTCATTAACCATAATATAACACCATATGGCCAAGTATTTCGGCATTCTCAATTTAAGACCGAATTCAAAAGTATTAAGATAATTTTTAACTACGATTTAGATGTTTAGGTAGTATCTTATGCTATATTTTCGTCGACTTGAAATATATCAAACCAATGACTAACAGAGATAGCATTCCAGATTTCTCTTTAAATCTTCTGAAGTAAAAGTAGAAGACAGACCTCGATCCAGGTCACCCTCGATTACAACCAAGATAATTTCGAATTCGTTGTCATTCGGGGCCAATAATTGTAGATCCTAATAGTAGGTAGATAATAATTTAATAAACAGAAGCAATACGTTCAGGATTCACCTTTAATACTAGACAAGAGGTGAACTGTGCCGTATCGCCCTATTAGGGGTTAATACTAGGAAGTCAGTTGGATTGACCTGACAGTTTATCTGAACTGTTTGACTAGCCAAACGATCAAACAAATGCCTACTATGATGATTATCAAGCTCAGGATGAACATTTTCCTGCGATACCTTCGTTGATATTCGGCAGCCTTGGCCAGTTCATCGACACCGGCTTCCACGTTCGCACTCACCGACTCTATGTGGCTTTCGACGGTTTCTTGAAAACAAATTAAAAGAAGTTTTAAAAAGTCTCAAAGCTTTTATACATGATCAATTTTAGGTGTGTTTAGTGAAAAAGTTGATTTGCTACAATTTTTTTTCCACCGGGTAATGCTTTTTTATGTGGGTAGGTGCACATTTCTAAACTACCTATGAATTTCAAACAAAAGCTCAGTTAGCCTAGATAGGATGGGTGAGTTAAGGTCAGGGGTAACAGACTGCTGTGGTTTATCAATTTATATATCCTGTGATAAAAGCACAGCTAAACACGAAGATGTTTGACTTACCTACAGACTGTGCTTGTTGATTAACCATTTGGGCAAGTTCCTGAACAATTTGATTCACATCTAATACATCCGCTTCTATTTTATTGATGTAAGCTTCTCTTTCAAGCATCATACTTGTTTCAAACTGTACAAGACGAGCCTGTAAAAGAGTTAAACGAAGATACTTTTAAACTTCATCCAGATATTTTTAATTACTAATTTATATTTACATTTGTTCTATTATTACATTTGAATTACCTGACGTCTCGACCTGCTTGCACTGGCCACGGTTTGGGTTCAGTCAGCCTAGTGCAACTCAGTAATTCTTAAACTACAGTAACTGTACCGTAAATAAAAGTTAAGTTAATTACCTGAGCTTGTTGATTGGCGATGAGCGAGGCTTCTTCGTCGTCAGCAATGGCTTGTTGTTCGAGAGCGCCTGGGTCGTTCCGGACGCGCGGCGGCCGCGGCATGTGAGCCGCCATCTTCTCTGACACTTTCTAGAACATTCAACACTAATACATTGCTATGCTAAAAAAAACCGTAGGTAGGTCATTTATGTTAGGGTCATATCACTACTTAAAATTTTTAATTTTATGTCGTATTTTATATTTTAGGGTCGTTCGGCAAAAATAACTTTATTGTCATGATTTTATCGAAATCCTACTTTGAAATTGACGAATTGGACTTCAAATTTCGTAATGGATGACCGACTTCACTATTACACACTATACCTACTTGGTATCTTGAAATAAGATTTTCAATTTTACTTACTTTTTGTACAGAAGAATATGTAGCGAGAGCTTCTCGGAATGCTTGTGTCAGCCGTTCCACCTGCAGCTTCTGTGGCTTATCGCCGCGTCGTACCACCACGCCGAGCCGTTGTATGTCGCGAGCAGTTGCTGACACAGAGCTATTCACTGATTGTTGGGTATCATGGCTGTCGAAAGTGAAAAAGGTAGGTTAATGTCTATACACACATTAGGGCCATACTTGCGATGTGACTGGCTTCTGGCTGGGCCCAGACCGAGCATTCGAGTCTAATCAGGTCAATCTTGTCTTTTCACACACTTCAGGGACGACCAGGGCCCCCCAGTCATTTTTAGAGATTGAGTATGAATAGAGATTACCAAAAAAAAAAAACTTGAGGACGATTGAAATTGCTGTAATATAAAAGGAAATTACAATATAACAACTTGTAAATTTGACTGGAGAATACTTTGATACATACGGTCTTTAAAAAAATCAAGTTTTATCCTCAACACTCACATTTTATCCCTCAACTGCACACTGTCACTGGGGCTGCCAATCTGCTTCATCATTTTCTCCAATGACCGTAGTCCTGTGTTGATTGTGCTGATATTGTCCGCTATACCCTCACTCAAGTTGTACAGCTCTGTGGGACTGAAGTCCGCAAAGCCCACGTTGGGCACAGCTGCAGTAGCTCCATAGTCTTTGCTTGTACCACTTATTGGTTCTCTTTCAGACATGGCTGGACCTGGAATAAGCAAAATTTAAGTAAAATTTAATTTCGGTATGTCTCACCAACTAAGAAAAAATATCAGACGGGTATCTTTCCTCAAGGCCAGCCAAGGACATTGGCTGGCCTTGAAGAAAGATACTTGTTTAGCTCATATAGCACAAAACTATGTTAATTGAACACTGGTCAAATGGCACAGTTTTAATACAGCACTTACGCATTACTGTATGTGTCTGTATGGTGTATATATGTTAAGTATATGGCGTGTATGTATTTGTGTGACTGCACAATGTGTGATCCACAAATTGTTGTTCTGAGTCTGGGTGTTCTTGTGTCCGTTTCATGTATGTTTGTAAAGTCCCCCGCGACACAGGATTTATTCCTAATGCGGGAGTTGTCTTTTTAAAAATGAAAAAAAAATGAAATGAAAATGTATATTAATTAACGTATGTAGTGTTCTGTAGTGTATATTTTAGTTGATTAGTAATGTAACCTATGTGCGCCTACATCAACCACCAAAAGACTCGACTGAAAGAGAATGCCCTGGGCATTAAGTCCGCCGATGTACAAAAGTGTATAAAGTTGTGTAAATCAATGAAGTAATACAGATCATTTGATTATTTATAAAGAAGTGTATCTATATTAGCATGTGGTTCGCTTTATTAACATACAATGTTAACTCTTATGCACACATTCACATTATTTTGCTTGGAACCCAAATTCTTTTACCAAGAAGAAGAAAAGAAAGCACCTTGAGTTAGAACCTTATTAGCAGACGGATAGATAGACAAAACATCTAGATGCCTTCACTAAAAGCAGTTTATGACAATACCAACAAACAATAACTCTTTTTATATATTTATTTATAAAGAATAGAGATAACATGTTATCGATAATTGATAACAAAACCGGACAAGTGCGAGTCGGACTTGCCCACCGAGGGTGCCGTACAAATTTGTAGGTACAGTCAAGGGCCATAAGTGCAGTACCATCGGAATGTTCTTATTGTGTGATGTTTTAATGCACAGATATATTATAACGAGACAATACTGACGTAAACAGTTGTAGATTGGTTACATTGTGTCACAAACACTTGAAAATATTTATTTATTTATTTAGATGCTAAAATTCATCTTAATAGTCATTAGAACTAGTGGTAGAATCGTGCGATTAGCGAATTATGGTGTATAATTGATCATTTTTAGTGTAGTAAAATACCAAAAAGTCAACAGGCACTGAGGATCGAACCGGATCCTCAGTGCCTGTTGACTTTTTGGTATTTTTGTTTTCATGACAGGATATTTATTTTTTTAATTCTGTTCCTTTAAAATGACTGTAACTTTCTAGTTTCTAGCTTCTCTAAAAAAATATTCTTGTTAGACATTTTGACCCAACACTTAAAATATTATGAAATAAAATAATCCACCACAGTTAACATCACATAATCAAACAAAATAACTTACACATAAGCGTGTTTCATTGTTTCATTTCAGATAAATTAAGCCTTTGCTGTGCAAAACTATAATGTTAGTCTTGGCTTTAATACTTAATATTTTACTTGCATTTTTACTAATATTTGCTTGCTTTTGGCATACAGATCTTCAATATAAACACCATTAGTAGCAGTAACTAATTTTACCAATGAACCGTTTTAAATTACGAAAAATAAAAATAATTCTTTGACGTTCAGTTAGTTGCTATAACTTCATAGAATAAAATATTATAAAAAAGTTGTAGGTACATATTATCAAAAATAGTTTATACCTCCCATACCTCCACGCGTTACCGAGATAAATGGTCTTGACAGACAAACAGATGGACTACAAAGTGATCCTAAAAGGGTTCCTTTTAAAACCTTCCGAACCCTAAAATGAAGGTTTTTTTTCAAATATTTCCTTTCAAAATGGAAACAGATAATGATGACAAAAATGTTGATAAATAAATAATATACAGTTAAAGATTACATAACCAATAAACCTCATACTGTGTTCAGTATTCGCTACTTTTACATTATTGCCTATTGAAATTGTGATCCATTTTGACATAGCAAATTTTATTATTTAATGCATGTACCTTTATTTTAATTATTGTATCTATTGTATGCCTAATGGGCAGGAAATAGTTGGACTAAATAATTAAAACTATGACAACTGTATAATGTACCTACCTATGATTCACAGTAAAGATAACTATTAAAAATAGGGAATGGGGAAATGGTGGAACTCTATCCAGTATCACATATGGGAATCTAATTGAGTGAACTTCTCTTGCTCCATTAAAATTACTACAATAATACTAGTACTAGATACTATTTTCAAGATACCTGTCATGATTATATGTAGAGCAGAATGAGTCAATGTATTACAATTATATTTTATGATGACATGATTAACCATATTTACTGAACTTACTACATTATTGCGTACAACAAAAAACAAAGTGTTTTAGTTTTAGAAAAGACAAACAAATCCTTTACAAACATACATGAAACGGACACAAAGAACACCCAGACTCAGAACAACAATTTGTGGATCACACAAAGTCTCGTCCCATGTGGGGATCGGACCCACAACACTCAGCGTATTGGTAAGCGGCGTGGCAACCTCTTAAACCACTGCAGCCATTAGTGCAGTGTAATTTTAATTTAAAAATTAAATATGGTCCAAACATTTATAAGTGTACTTTCGATAACTAAGCTTGCTTAACGAGAATATACTATTATTACTAACCTGTTTGTAAAACAAGTATTTAGTGAGTTACACTAAATACTTGTGTTACGAGCTGGTTTCTGTGGCAGCTGGGGGTTTCCCCAGTGGCCAGATGCATGGTAGTCTCATCTACATATAAATGAAAGTCTAATTTTGAAATGTTTACCACTAAGATGGTGTACCCTTGCTGCCCTGTTTCAAGCAGGCATTAATAAATGTCTTAGCTGCCCCTAAATACCTACTACCTTATACATGGTATAGCACACCATGTGATTCAATAAACCACCCTACAATACCATAAACACCGGGGTGTGGGGATTCCACATGCACATTGAACTTGCACTACTCTAAGTCTGATCCTTGGCTATGCATATGCTACCACCAATTTGTTCAAAAGCTAAGTTTGTATTGACTCTATTAAGAGACCAATTAGGGTAATAGTTTTACTTTAATTGGTAAACCAGTTATATAGAATCACATTTCAACTTGAGGTGTTAGTTGATTTGCATTTTACTGATTGCACAATGGTTTTTAGACATCAATTTGGGCTTCTGGGTGCAGGACCTGTGACTGGAATACTACTTATGCTCTAACATCGAAAAGTAAGTTATCTACAAAAAAAGAATGTGTAAAAACCTGGTCAAAAATTCTGTTACAACCTTTAAAAATGTGTACAGAGTGTTATTACAAATATTTATTGTTTACTACTTACTACGATGCAGGCAATACAAAAATGGATTCTTGTTGATATGATTCACGGGTTTATAATTTATCGGTAATTGATATTAACTGTCACAACCAATCTGTTGTACTACGTCGCGAGTTTTATCAACGATGATAACATTGGTGACACACAGTTGCGCAACTTATATTATAACCGGTTCACTAAATAATGTTACCTCAGCAATGTAAATTAGTTGGATGAAATAAAGTTTTCTTTTATGATTTTTTTTTTGTCCAGTGCCAGTGCCAATCGACGGTCGATGAACTGTCAATGTCAGGTAACTGTCAAACTGAAAGAGAAGAGAATGAGCGATGTTGCACGTGTAAAATAAGTGCTCAAAGACCCATGGAGGATTCTACCCGATCTCTCTCTACTCCTTTATTTTCTTCTTGATTAATACGGCTGTAAAGTAATAGTAATAAATATAATATTTCTTCCACAAATACAGTTGAATACAGTATTATAACTTTAGGCGAAGGACTTTTCATACCGACTTAGATTTAGTCATTATCGAATTTATAGTAGTAGTCTCAGTAGTACATAAGAGCATTTATCCACCACACCTGTTACCGTCCAGCTCACATATTATTATAATGAATCAGTTAGTCTTGGGTAATACACGTACGATGTACTGATAGGTACTAGTACTGGGTATTGTACTAAAAGTAATGTTTCCGAAAGGCAGCTGTTAATCGGACATTTTGCACTATTAGTACACAGTGTCAACTTCAAGCCAGTACTAAAACTATCTATTGTTTACTCTGTCTACTAGTGTCGTAAGTTCGTTCGCTGTGCGACGTACTATTAATGCTCCGCTTTATTGTTTCGTATAGGTAAACAGTGTAGGAGTAAAAGGGACAGCGATACAGAATGTACTACAATACGTTGGGTTGTAAAGGTGAAGGAAAATAAAATAGTATGCTAAAAATTTAGTGTAACGTAATCTAAAGAATAGTATTTAAAAGTCAAACTGTTAGGGATTATTTGATTCAGAAAGGGATAACACATTAAAAATAATCAAGAACTGTGCAATTATTTCAATACTGAAGAAAAGTAATACAAAGCCATCTATATTGAAAAAAACTATAACACTTTTTTTTAAAATACGTATTTTAATTTATTTAATTATTAGTATTCCGTTTCATTAATGTTGGTAATATCAATACAAACGCTTAAGTTTTCTACTTCTACTAAAACTGTACTAATAGTACTATTACGGTGTGCTAGTACGTTGTACTAATTGTACTAGTACGGTGCGAACCTGCAGATGTCCGATTAAGCACAAGACTAGAATCAGTCAGTGTCACGAACGGCTGTATCGAGAAGTGGCAATACACACATTAACTGAAGTCATCCGAGTGCCATCTTACCAACCAAACATATGCCTCGGTTGCACGATCGCGAATCGAGTTCTCCATCATTTTACTCTCGGCCTAAAGACGTCCAATTCTATACATGGGCTTCCCCCAAGGCCCGCCATAACAACCAGTTCTCTGCTGCCTGCATGCAACGGCTAACGCGACCTTCACCAGATAAAATAATAATATCGATCGCATTCTTAAAATCTTAATTTTGAGTATTTATACATAGATTAGTATGTAGTTTATTACATGTAAGTGTTTGTTAGTATTGTTAATTTTAAACTCTTTAACAAAAACATATTCAGTTTTATATTTATAGATTTTCAATAAATTGATCGTATTTGTTTTCCCAGCTGGTTCTCGAATAAGTGAACAGATGGCGCTACTTTCGTTTTATTGTAACGTCATGATTATACAGAGCTATGGCCGTAGGTTGGTAGTAAAAATCTACTATCACGAGAATGTATCTTATTATGTATGCAAAGGTTGTCCATGACATATTTTTTCTCACGTTGCGTGCTGAGATCAGGATCAATAAACCACTTTACACCTGTCCTTTCACAAAGAAAAATGATTAAAACTACGCAGAAAAATATTTTAAAAATGGCGTGTGGTACGAATAATAATTATGATAGACTACAATAAAATAACAGTTTACCTATTTTTGATATTGTGTTAACATTTCTAAGTTTTGGCAAGAGGACGAGTAGGTCTAGCCACTTACTGCTAAGATCGATCAGTAGAATAAAAACTACACTAATATTTTACTAATTAGTCGACAAGACGACAACACTTAGTAATCAACTAAATAATTGTCATTCCAATTAATATATTTGCTGAAAACTTAAATCAAAAGTAAGCACACTAAATTACACTAACGGCTTGTACGCGTGACTAACATTTAATTTTATGCACTTCATTATAATAACTTCAGACATTTGATATTTATTACCAACACGGGACGTTTTGATGTGAAGACAGAAGTAAACTGGACACTGTTCAAAATCCTCAGAAATATTAGTTTAAAAATTAACGTTTAACAAAGTATCACCGACTTCAAAAATGAATTTTATTATAAAAACTAAAAAAAAAATGTACAACCGATTTGAAAACTTCCTTCTTTTTTGATTTAGGCTAACAAACACACTATATTAGCAAAACGAAATAAAAAATAGGAAAATATTATGTACTTATGAACAAAAAAAAAAACGTGAGCGTCTTAACCGACTTCTTAATATATTTTTATGAAAACACTAGTTGATTTTGATTTCTGATGGACAGAATTTTAGTTAGAACTACAAATTTTCGATTTTATTATTTTCCCTTCTCCTCTTTTTAAATATAAAATAATTGACAAGAGTATCAAAATTACTAGAGACAAAAGTATCAAAATTACTCGAACTTAACGCTCAACTCTACGACGGGAAATTTAAATCGAGGATTGGGTTTGAGTAGGTATACTTTCCCCTTTTCTAATATATAAAAATCTCATGTTTGTTATCGAATTCCTTCAAAACAGCTTGACCGATTTTTATGTTTTTTTATTGTGTATATTTGGTAGGTTTGAGAATAGGTATTAAGCTATTTTTTATACCTCTAAGTGGTAAGTCAGTAATTTTTTTTTGTAAATATGTCAGTAGTAAGTAAATATATCGAATTAACATAATTAATGGTCAGTGTTTTGTTATTTTTATAGGCCATCATCGGCCACAGACATACCCTATCCTCACATACTTACAATAAGTTAGTTTTTTTTTATTTAACTACCAAAATATTCACTAGAAATAATTTATATGGCAAAATAACGTTTGCCGGGTCAGCTAGTATTACTATATATACTAAAAAAATATTTCTTAAGATCTAAGTAATTTTTTCGACCATTTTGTAAATTTTTCCTTTTAAATGGTTCTGATTCTGAACAGTACTCCTTGTCACATATTTATACAATTCATAACGCACAAAATCTACATACTTAAATTATAAGCCTAATGAGAGACGGCCTATGTCATTTAAATTAAGATATAACTGGAATATGGTGGACTAAAGGAGTAGCAATTAAATTTTATATAATATACGACCTCAATATATATATAAGGGTGTTAGATACAAATACACTTTACAGATAAAATGAATCAATATTTTTGTTTGTTCGAAAATGTTTGAATTCTTATATTGTTTTGTGGTAATTGCGTCGTCCACAACTATACTTAAACACTTTATAATGTATATTAAGCGCATCAGTAGTACAACGTTTTTGTCAGCATATTTACTAAACGATTAAAAAGGTACATTAGCCACTTAAGATGTCTAAGCGAGAATCTCGGTATTTGCGGAGAAATTGTCGGTTCCTGTTGCATTCAGTTTAACGGGCTTTTTATAAGCATAATTATCGTTCTGCGATTAGAATCGATTCGAGGCTTAGTTATTTTAAAAAAAATAGTCCGGTAGTTTTATCGAACCAAATTGCTTAATGTTTTATTTCCTTATTTAATTTTATATTTAGTTTTTTTTTTTACGGAAGATGGGATAAAAATTAAACGGCTCACCAGATTGAAAGTGACCATCTCCGCCCATGAACGTCTGCAACTCAGGAGTCACAAACGCGTTGCCAGCCTTTTAGGAAGGAGTACGTTCTTTTCTAGAAGGTTTGAAAGTCGAATCGGTCCGGAAATACCGCAGACTATAATTGCCTGATGCCTGTATCGATATTGTACACATCTTTAGAATCCTTACGTTATCCCTAATAGCATTAGTTATAAATTAAAATACAACAATGCGACGGCATAGGTGTATATTCAAATACTTGGAAGAAACAGTTAGTTAACTTTAGAAGGTATTATCAAGAGAAATATAAGAGTCAATCTACCTCACACTATATTTTTGGAACAAATTTTTAATAAGCAGTTTATCCGATTCCATGTGTAAACAAACATTGCTCGATAGCTATTGAAGTTTCAACACAAACAAACACACTTACATTTTTTGAATAGTTTTAATAACAGATTAAAGTGGTTTTAGTTACGGTGATTATTTGAATGTGTACAACTTACACTGTCTCATTCCTAAAATTAAACCATGCGTCGAGTCGTTTTTTTTTGGGGGTAAAAACGCGGATGAGTTTGAAATGGTTGGAGAGGCACGATGTTGGTAACGTGTCCGTGTAGTGACGGATTAAGAATACGGAATGTCACTACCCCAATTCAACCCGTGGGTGTCGTAAGAGCCGAGTAAGGGCGCAAAACAATGCAGGACACCAGCACTGCAAAAAGAAGGAAAACTTGACACAAACCCTATATCAACCCGTCTGGCCAGCGTGGTATAGTAGGCCAAAACCTCCTTTCTAAGGAGTGGCCTATGTTCAGCAGAGGACTATTAAAGGCTGTTGATGATGATGTTGGTAACACACACTTGATATTGCCTGTTTTAAGTTAGAAGAAAACTGCGAAATACGAAAAGGCTGGATTACTTTGGATACCCGATTCCTACTTTCATATTGTTTTGATTAGGCACCTTCTTTTTTCTGTATGGAAATCCCCTCGGATACCACCCGGCGGCTATGTCAGACTCGAACCGACCAAAAACCGCACGCCGTCTCGAGTACTAGTAGCCGGGGAACCACGTGTACCCTAGAAAGGAAATCTCTGGTACCCGTAACTCGGGCCATCTACGGCGGGTAGATAACCCCCTCCTGTGTGGGAACCCCCATGTTCCCTTTACGCTCCCGAAAGGGGGAGCGCGCTCCGCAGCACGTCTCGCCGCCACCCTTCTGCTACAGGCAGATGGCCTTACCAGTGTCCGCTAGGCCTGCGCTTATGAGGCCGTCGTTCTGCGACCCCCGGCGCCTGAGTCGTCTGCGGTACCTGGCCCATCCTCGAGCCTGGCAGAACGGGAGAGTTCTAAACCTCCACATCCGTCATCACCCCATCCATTTCATCCATCATCACCTCCTAAATCAACACATCTAATGCATCCAAGTGGCAAAACTTTGAAATCAATGTATGATACAGTCAATGAAACAAACGTAACATATCATAATTATTTATCTGTTAATGGTTGGCTAATGATGATCCTGACTGCTTACCCTTAGAGACTGTGGCCCTCCTCAACTATTAACGTCTCTGCACCGT